AGGTCTTCTATTTATCTATATTAATATATGTATATTTCCACATAGGTTTCTGAGTTCTTTATATTAATCCACTGAATGTTAAACCAAGAGGAAAGGCTGAAGTGAAATCCCTCATTTTGTAGAATGGTCATGTAATTGATTCTGTGATTCATGTGTGCAGAGGGCTTGATGGCTATTAAATTCTGGTCTCATTACACCCAACTCCAGCTAAATGTAACTGCAATGAAGAAATTTCTCTTCACAGCATGAGTGGATTGTTTTTTAGAGAGAGCAGGGATGTATTTCCTTATCATATAACCATCTCTCATACATTTTCTTCATCCCAATCTACTCCTGAATATTCTGGCCTTGGTAAATACCCTTAGAATAATAATCACTGCTTTTAAAGCAGAGCCAGAGCTGCTTTCAGAAAAACTTGAGTTGGGAGGGAGATGAAGATTTCATGAAGTGACTCCATGGGATGTCACAAGTTTTCTTCTCTTTCTCACTCTATGTGAACTATAGGGTGACATGCTTTTCATTGCACCAGCCTTTAGTCTGAAAGACTTATCAACTAGTTAAAAAAGGCAATTTCTTTTGGCTTTTGAGTGTCAAGTATAGACTTCTTATCTGACACACTGACAAGAAATTTGATTTCTGTAAAAACATGTCTTTTAATTAGCTACAGTGTGTGTTGCAGCCTCCCTTTCCAGAAGCTGTTTAGCAGTCAAGCACACTGAAACAGGTTCAGGATTTATAGCCTCTTCGGTAACTTCCAGTTTAATAGGATTAAATCGCAAAATCAATTGAAAATTAACATAATGTTTTGATGTGATTTCTAATTACGCCTGAGTTTAGGCCTGTGAGTTCAGGCTCATAGAGCAAGCTGATGCACGTCAGAAAGCTGATTCACAGTGGGCACTTTAGAAGGAAGAAACAGTTATACAAGATATAAAATATTAATTTACAACAGGTGTCTGTGGTAATTTTAATATCCGAACATTTGATTTCCTGTTATCAAGCATAGCAAATGCAAGTAATTTGTGACTGTCTACATTTTCACCAGTGGACTGCAAGCAGACCATCAGGCACTTAAATTTGCCCTAAGTGACTTACATCTAATAAGAAAAGATAAATCAATAGTTTCTCTAAGAAAAAAAGGTGGTTACTTTGTTGGGTTCTCAACAGGTCTAACCACACATTTAGAAACAGCTTAAAAAACTGCATATATTATATATATATGTGTGTATATGTATACACAAATATATATGGTAAAGAAAGAAATTCACATTGTGCACCTCATCCTGCTGTTTCTGACACGTGCTTTGTATTTGGAGCTCCTCTCTAGCAAAGGTAATACAACCTCATTCAGTTAAACCAAAGGTCATAGGTCAAATGGGTCTCCAAGAACTAGATATGAAACCCAAATGCAGTGCTGGAGGTGACATCGTAGTCTTCCACGAACATGGAGGTATTTTCTCCTCCCCTTTGAAGGAATTTTTGGAATAATCTCTGAAAAAAATTTGGGGTGAAGTGTTTTTGTTGACCTTTTATTTTATGAGATCAGAAACAGTTTAGCTTCAGAAATTATTTCTTTTTTTCACATTTTCACTAGATTTCATTGTCTATATCTATAAAGGAAAATGCTGCAGAAAGAAAATCTGTGTTTAGTGTCACTTGTTGGTTTCATGTTTCTGTGGTATGAGGAGGGAAGATTAGTGGAAGTCTGGAAACATAATGACTTAATATTGTGTATGCTCTAAAAGAATAAAAAACTATTCATTTTCTTCAATTATGCTAACCAGTTTGGTTCCAAACATCTGGACAATGTTGTTATTATCTGAATATTTTAGAACTAGTGAGTATTGCGTCTCTCTCATCACTTGCAAGATCTGGGAAAACTTTGCCATTGAGTCAGATGCTCATGCCAACATCTTTGTATTTCATAATTTCCTAAGCAGTTAAAGGTGAATGGTGGTTTTCGTATACATGTGCTTTGTGGTTCATATTCAATCAAGATCAGTTTTAGAACTCTATAATTTTAAAATGTTACTGTATCAGGTGTTTAAATCAGATCATTTAGCAGTTCAATCATTGTAATTAATGCCATATATAATTCTTCTCATTGAAACAATGCTTTCATGTGTGTGCTTGTCCTGACAGATATCAGCCCACCTGCACAAGGTGTTGATCATAGACAAGTCCAGAAAGAACTGGGAGACGTCATTGTACGACTGCATAACCCTGTTGTGCTGACACCCACAACAGTCCAAGTCACCTGGACCGTAAGTCTTCTCTTGTAATTACCATTGTAATTGTACTTAAATTTTGGCCATTTGTCCTTGCAATTTTTTCTACACTGGAAAGCTCCGGTGTTGCCTTTGGTGAGAATACTGTGATAAAATAACACTGTGCATATTCTATGCATATGAGACAGTGAAATGGTCTTTCTGTTTCCTCCTTCAAGCTGGGCAAGTTCAAAGTCTTTCAAGATTCAGCTCAAAGCGAGCTAGTTGATAAACAAGGAAAAATCTCGCAAAAATGATGTGCTTAATACCACATTGTAAAGGATAATTGCTCTCTGAATTCATCACAGTACATGCCAAAAAGTAATCATAGTTAAACATCAACATGAAGTTGCTGTATGAAAAAGGGCTTTCCACTTCAAGGTATAGGGACCTCTGACAATAAACCATTATTTGGTGGATCTAAGATGCAAAAAATGATATTCTTAAAGGGCACTTGTAGCAAAGGCAGAGCACATGTTGTCATGGCCTGGTTAATCATGTAGCATCTGGTTTTCTAGCATAAGCCTCATCCCCACTCAGGGAATAGCCTTTGATTACAGAAGGTCAGAATCTTTTTTTGGCAATACTTGACAACATTTCTATTTGAGGGTCAAACTACTGGGTAGGGTTTCTTAGGCCTTAGTATGTAGCATTTGGCTTTCAAAATGCTGTATTTCCCTCCCTGAGGCTTGAAGGAAAGGATTTGTAACCATAGGAGAGCGTTCCTAGGGCGGCTCTGCACCACAAATGACTGCTTTGCTCTTGGGGCGCTCGCCCCAGAGGAGTTTAAGCCCTTGATGAAAGAGTGCTCTAAATAAATAGTACTGCAGTGCACAAGCACAGAAACAATTGCATTATATAGGATGAATTCTGTTAAAGGGATATGCACGGTATTTAGGGTTTGTCTTATACATGCGGTGTTGCTAAGAGGTAAATGTGTGCAGGGATTATAGAGGATTATAAAAGAGGAGATAAGATCCCCCATGTGTTGGGAGGAGGGGGACTTGCAGCTGTTTGAAATACTTTTTTTTTCAAATGTTTGCCCTGGCTTTATACTGCAAAGGAAACTTTAACTTAAATGGAACAGCAGTTTTAGCTGTTGCAACCTGCTTCACTAGGTTATAAGAAAACAGGATTTGAAGAGTAGCTTAGTACTTCTACTAAACCAGTAATGCATAAGGAAAACATGGTTATAAAAAGGTAAATTGCTGTGCATGTTTCAGTTAACAGCTACCTTCAAAAGATCCCTCAAAGTATGACTCTCTGCCACATGAAAATCACACAAGCCTCTGCAGAGACATTTCAGAACTGGCCAAGGCAAGAAAGACAGTAAAAAATACAAAAGGAGAATCTCTAGAATAGCTAATTAGAAAGTTTCTAGGAACCAGAACAGAGACAATTAGCCATAGTTTGTAGGAAAAAATTACACTCTATCCAGAGAAAAAAGTCTTCACTTTTGATATAGGTAGATTTGCTAGTGTAGCTAACATACAAAAGGGAAAAAAAAATAGTACTACAAAAGTCATAAAACTGTCTTGGTCTTGCCCTTCAGCAGTTTGGAGTGTGAGTGCTGAGGTTACCAAGTTTCTGGCATTCTTCCTAGCAGGTCAACCCCAGTTTCTCTCTTCTTTCAGACTTCTTTTCTTTTTTTGGTTTTGCTTTCTCTTTTACCAAATTTGAATTTAAAAATCTAAAAATAATTCTCTGCTACATTGCTGCAATTTTAGAATATTTTGAAATCACACATTTTCTCTCACATGTTCTCACACATTTTGCCTGTCTTAGGAGGAGGTTATTCTTATGAGGTCAGACTTACAATGTCAGTGTTTTAAAAAAATGGAGGAATGTCATAACTTAGCTTTTCTGTGGTCCCTAATGTTTCCCTCTTTTGCATAAATACAGTACAGCTGTAATTATGTGGTCACATACTATTTTTTTTTCCCATGGGATCTCTTCTTCATGGAGCTATTCAACTTTTATTTTTGTCTTATCTTTTTTATTCACTGCCAATTGAATTGCCAGGTCTGATTTAATTCATACCACTGAAACCTTGCATTGAATAAAAAATTATTAGTTTATCTCACAGACTTAACTGTCATGTTCTCAACCATAGTATTTAGATGTTTCACAAATAATTCTGAACTTACTGTCACAATGATAAAAATGTGTCATTATCCTAACATTACACAGAGAGAAATTGAATTGCAGAGATATATAATGCTGATGAGACTTTCTGTATCAGATATGCTCAGTGTTATCAAGTACCTAATTTGAAACCTTAGGCCTTATTCATGTTTATTTTTATCAAAGGATTTAGCATTACTACAATATATCATGTGTTCAAAACACTTTTCCAGCTGTCCTCAGCTGCAATTTAGCACTTCTAGTCCCAGTTTTCTCTCATATTCAGAAAAATGAGAGTTCACTTGGTAGCCAAATGTGAAAAGTTCCCTAGCACTGCAGAGGACATCTGTGTCATTAGCAGGAATAAAATCCCCCTCCGCGGTGTGTGCAATAACTGCCATAGCCATGAAACCTTTTCTGCTTACAGTCCCTTCTAACACTGGTGCCTTCCAACTTACCTGTCACAGTAGTCACAGAGGAGATAGATAGATAATCTACACTTGGACCTAACTGGAGAGGACAATGAAGGGTTTATCACCACTCTTTAGTGACATCCAGCATGGATTTTTGTCACTTATGATACATATTTGTCAAATATTTTGGCTATTTTGGCTCAGTTTAAATCCAGTTTATTTGAGACCTCTCCTGCCATCTCTCCAGGATGCATTTGCTGACCATACAGGCCCGTTATGCTCTCAGTGTCCACTTTCTCCTCTCTTACTCCTCATTACCTAGCACTTCCCTAAGGCGCTTTTCTCTGTGCTTCCGTTGCTTCCCTCTCGTGCCCTTCTCTGGTGGCTGTGGACGGGTGAAGGTGAGCGGTGCCGGCCCTTCCCTCGGCGCCACGCGCGCCCAGGGCGCTCTGCCCGGGCGGAGCGCGGCTGCCGGTGCTCGTGCAGGCCGCCCCGTTCGCGTAGCTCAAGCTGCGCCGTGAGCGTCTTGTGCTGCCTTTGTGACGACTGCATAGCTGGACAGACCGATGCAGCAGTCATCAAACCTGTCTCATGCTCGGATGTGGTATGCGCAGATTTGAATATTCAGGGAAAAAGAGTTTCCTGTTCCACAGAAATGGAGCGCTATCGTAGGTTTTGTAGATACCTCCCTCACTATGTGTTGAGAGTGAGAAACAGCTGCTTCCATGGATTCTGGAGTAGTTAAGATTGCAACAGGATTAACAATATTCCCTAATCTTAATATTTAGCTCAGAGAACTGCAATTTCTGTAATGATGCTTAGTATTTTGTAAGAGAAAGTGACATGCATTTACAAGAAAAAAGGAAGGGAATACCTCTTCTATACCTAGATATTAGTGTATTCTCCCATCAAATCACTGAACTTGATTCTACAGCTTGGCCTATCTAAATGTGAACGAAGTGTGAAACCAGTAGAGTTATCTGATGCTTAGTACAACTGAATACAGATTTTTAACACTAAGTGGGTTTGTAGTGTCATGTCATTGGAGTGACACGTAATTGCCATATCACAAAGAACAATGGAGTCACGAGCTTTGTGCTTTATGTAAGGCTCAATGTTTATGGGTATGTATACAGACACACACATATACATACATTCCTATATGTGTGCATGTATGTGTGTATTTATATGACATAAACCTGTTCTATACCTCGTATATGTCCCTGGCAAATCCGTGTAACTCTCTAAGAAAAGTGCTTTCTAGGCTAAGGACAATGCTCCAACAGAAAAAATATATATATTGACCTTGGGCAAGGACCAGAGTGCCCTCTCAGTAGCTTCCCAGCATTTTCCATAAGAAAGGTCCAGTTCATTTAGCCTTGACATGGTTATTAGAAATAGCCTGCTTTCTGCTTGATATTGACTAATGCTCAATGTTTAAAAAAGCATTAAAAATATATTTTCCTTTGTACACACCCTCCCTGACTCCAGAGAACTGAATGACTGTCAGTTCTCTGAATTTCTGGCAGATCACCTGGGCCTGCTGCAATCCAGCTTTTATTTGAAAGCACTGTGGAGCTTGTGTGGGTTCCCTCAGACCAAGCTAGTTCACAGAGCAATCCTGTGAATGACAACCCTGAAATACCAATGCTTTTCGGGTTCATATCCTTTGTATTGTTTAGTCCCTTAGGCTAAGGGCTTCAAGAAGTAGGGGGAAGAAGAGGTGGATAAATAAGCTATATAGCTATATATCAGATATGTATAAATATATTGACAATGCAACGAACTCAAAAACATGCACTGTATGTGTGTGCGTGTATGTGTATACATATATCAGTACAGTGGGTGTATCAGAAGTGCATCAAGTAGCACAGATGTAGACCCTTGAATATGAATAGTGGATTCTCCTCAGAGGGCTTTATGGGACTTTTGACCAGTCGTGCAGTTGTTCTCAGTGAGTTAGTAGTTATTTTTGGTGTTTATACTGCATCCTCCAAAACATTTTCCAGACGCTTTTTTAGGAACGTATGGTTTTTGCTTAGTCAAATCTGAAATTTACAGATGTCCTCCACTTGACAACAATCAACAGATTTTAAAATTACAGCAAACAGAACGGAAAGTCGTAAAGAACTTAGCACTGCCTTTCTCATAAGTTAGACAGAAATTAGACTTCATTTTTCGATTATTAAACATCATAGGCATGTCTTATAACTTAGGTTGAAATTCTGTATTACAAAGTAAATGAAAGAGTTCTTACAGAATTTTGTAGTAAACATGAGGTTCATAAAGTCTTTATGTCCGTAAAACATTTAATTAATGAAAGTCAAACATGGATAAAAACAATTTACTCTGATTTACAGACTCCCTTCATCTGGAAACAGCTGCTTAATGTTCTTCTTAAAAACACAGCTTGATTCTTTCGGTATTAACAAGCTATTATTGTGAGTTATATCCCTCTTTCAGTGCATAAATTCACTTAAAGTGAATGTAGAGAAGTTTATAAAATGCAAGCTTAATGTTGTTGTAACATATGTTGTAAGGTTTTTAACAGTGACAGTTTTGATGAAAGACATTTCTGCTTTGCTCTCATAAATAAAGCTTTCTTGTTTGCCCTGCTTCTTAATGTCTTAAGAATCTGTGTCCCCTCTGAATGACTCAATAAACTGTATAACAAGGTTATAGGAAAAGTTGAATAGACCTTGGTTTCTGTTTTCAGTCTTAAATACATTTGCTCTTAAGAGTACTCAAACAAGCCTATCTCTAATTTTGAAATATCTTTAAGCCAGCAAGTTGTCAAGAACAGAAAGAAAATCCTACTTGTTGAATCTTAGCTGCAATACAGGAATTTACAAACAGGCATTTAGACGGCCATTTGTATTGCATTTTCTGTGGCTCTTTTTTGACAGAAGCAGCTGTGTTTGATTTCCTTTTATGCATTAAACAGTTTTGACTATTTTGCAAAATTAAACTGCAAATTCATGCAAGCATCGCAGTAGTAGTAGTAGTGTAGTGTTTTGTTTTGTTTTCCCAAAGGAAAAAGAAGTGTGTACAGCTTTCCAAGATAGAATTTATTTTAAGTTTCTCTCTGAAATTAAAATTCTATTTATAGGTGCGATAGGTCAGAATTTTTATACTTTTGTGTACAATCCCAGTCTTGAATATTCTCTGCATAGCAACAAGTCACGTAAAAAAGGGAGAGCATTCGACCCCCATGTGATGGCAGGAGCGCATCACAGTCCCAGGGTGCAAGCAGGCTGCTTAGGCGTGAGCACAGGGAACAACACATGGCCTTGGATGTTGTTTTCTCTGCATCTGCCTTATGTTTATTTTACTTTTCTGAGCATCTCATGAAATGATGAACTGTAAGCCAAGTAATGGACTAACTGAAAGCATGTAAGGCATCTTCAAAGACTTGTCCTTTTCTGAAAGGAATTTGTTTTTCCTTTCTTCTCATATTTCAGCACTTCAGTAGCCAACATGTCCTTAATAGGTTTACATGTATTAAGCCTCATGCCAAAGTTCTCTTTCTGTGACTTGTTGGAGGGGTTAGGGTTTTTTTTTGTGCTTGAAGAGGGTATTTGTCTTTATATGTAACTGGAGTCAATAAAATAGGAAGAAATGTCATATAACAAATAACATGATCAAAATGTTCATTTAAAGAATATTAATGCAGATTGACTTGCAAGATGGCAGCTTGATTTTTAAATTCAGCAACAAAAGTAACTCTTTGGTTTGTTCTTTTTCATAAATATTCTTGGTAAACATTTTGTTTTCTTTTTATGTGCTTCAGTTACTTTGTTTATTGACATATTAATTTAATGCTATTTCTAGGTCGATCGCCAGTCCCAGTTTATTCAGGGCTATCGAGTAATGTATCGCCAAACATCTGGCCTACCTACTCCAGCTACATGGCAGAACTTGGAGGTCAAAGTCCCAACGGAGCGCAGTGCTGTCTTAGTCAACTTGAAAAAAGGGGTCACTTACGAAATTAAAGTTCGACCTTATTTCAATGAGTTCCAAGGAATGGACAGTGAATCAAAGTCTGCCCGTACCACTGAGGAAGGTTAGTAAAATGGTTAGAAGAAGCAACAGACATGCATTTCTAGTACTGGAAGTCAAATCAAGGACTGTCACTTCAGTTATTTTGTGTATGCATTTGTTCAACTGCATTTCTTTCATATGATCTCTATTTGTTTAATACAGAATTGGCATTCGAATTCAAGTTCATAGTCTGTTTTGTGGGCCAGGACAGGCACTCAGCCAGTTCCACAATCTTCTAGCTCATTACGTGTGAGAAGTGGCTTTGAGTCTTCCAAAATGTCTCTGCAGCAGCCATTCTTTTCTAACCAGCGTTGTCACAAGAAAGGATTTTCATCTGGACTTTTAAAGTAAAACTAATACATGAAATCTTTTGCAGATGGGTGTTTAAAAAGAAGCAAATCACTCCAAATGAGCAGCAATGTAGATGAACAATTCAAACGCATTTATTAGGACTAGAGAAAGACATTTTTTTTTTTGCTGTTCTGAAGGACTTGCAGTCTCAAGGGCATTCTACTCTGCGGTTTCTCCCAGCACATCTTTCATGAAATTATTTAATCCTTCAGAGAGTTCAATCAGTTTCCTTAAGTACCTTTCAAACCTACACCAAAATGTGCAAGGTATTATTTTGCTTAGACATAAACTCTCTATGGCTATTTTTTATTGAAAACAAGGTGAGATGAAGTATAAATAACTTTTATCCTGCGCTCTTAGGAGTGTGCAAGAAACCTACCTACCTATATAATGCAGCCCATTCCCAAAGTCTGAGCCATCATCAGCATTTCTGCTGTAAAAGTAGAGGGATGATCTTTATAGTGAGAGTTCATCTTATGGCTGTTTCATTGATTTCTTTCAAACTATGTGAAGGAAACACTGGTGAAGTCTCAAAATGGTCAGATGCTTTTAGCAAGTTTTGAGCACACTCTTTCTTTCGTTCTTATTGAAGTTACAATCTTAATGATTTACTGAGGTTTCCTGATGTTTCAGTGATTGTCAAATACTGTCAAATTCTAGAATGAACTTGCACTTTACACTTTGATTTGTTATGGTTATTGCCCAACAAGCAAGTGAACATGAACTGGTTGTTACCCCTGCTTTACAGGAAAATACAGTGTCCTGCCACTTGTATAAAAGCACATAGAAAGAAGCCATTAAAATGTAGGACTTTTTGGTTTCTTTGTTCAGTGACAGCCTAAGTCTGTCAGTAAAGAATAGCTTTGCAGCAGCCTGAACAGAGCTAGAAAGCAAGCAAGCAAGCAAGCAAGAAAGAAGGGAAGGAAGGAAGGATTTTTTTTTTTTAAAAAAAAAGCTTTCTACAGGTGAAATTGGTGTGGTGAAATTGGAAAATCAGGTGTTCATATGTTTTCAAAAATACCATCAACCAAATATGTAAAGAATGTGTTTTGCTTGCCCACCTGTAGAGACAAACGTCAGTCTACTGAAAGGTAGAGTGCTTACAGTTTAGCCTTTGGTTCCTTTTTGAAAATCAGCTTTTGACGTGGACATTTTTTAAAACGCCTCAAAAATGTATTTTTTAGCAAATAGTTTGTAAGGGTGACATGAATGTTGGAAGTCTTGCGCAACGCCAAGGTGAATAACCCTAGTAAAGGCAAAGCACAACCAAGAGGCAGTAGCAGCTTCTTGCTGGATTGAATTTTACATGGAATGTGACTTCTGAGGGCTACCTCTGAAAATCAATTTGGCTGCCGTTAGACTTTTCCTCTACATCCGGCATTTGTCACAATTCAGTATCCATTCATCTCCTGCCTCTTTGGCCTTGTGAAGGTAACAAATGGAATTGCGTTGAGCCGCGCCTGGGAAAGATGAGCAGCGATTTGGGTTCTTTCATATCTGTAAGAAGAAGCTGAGCACTGGAATAATTGACCTGTCAAGAAGCAGGCAAGGTGTTCTCCACAAGCCAGCAGCAAGGGAAATGAGAAAACGGTTTTAAAAATGTTATTTTTCAATGTGGTCTATTTAATAACTGCGGCAGTGTCAGACAAGTGGCTTAATTTATATCATGGTGCCAGCTTACACGGTAATATTATCACAGAGAGAGGAGCAGGACTGTTCTATACACGCGTGCCTACCTATAGAAAGCAAGAGCTAAATAGAATATTTCATTTGATAATTTTCACTTCTTGCTTGTTTTTACACTTTCTCTAAAGACAGATGAGAATTTCTTCAATTACATCTACTATTTTAAATCTCTTTCGGAATAACTTTGTGGAGTAGCATTTTTTTTTCTGTGTTTTGTTTGTCACCGATGTGCAAAAATCTGATGGTCAGTAATGGAGATCTGCTTAGTTTTTATTAGCAGTGTCTAGTCCTGATTACCTTCGTGCTTAAAATGAGATTTCCGTTGCATTCATCAGTTGCAATTTAGGTGTCACTTCAAAATTACTCTATATCTTTTTAGAAACATAAAGACACATTAATAGAATCTTAACCAAAATATTTGTGCAGTTTAAATGCAAATACAAATGAGGACAATGTGTATTTCTTTAAACATTAGATTAAACAGTTCATTTTACATGTTCTTTAGCATTTACTTTGCTCACTGTTGTACTCTCTCGCTCTCTCTATTTCTAGATATGTGTATATAAGAAATTACATTTCTGAGTGCCCTTTATGTTTCTGTGTAAGGATGAAAGTAAATACCTTTCTGCTAGATATTCCATATTATTTAAAATTTTAAAATTTTAAATTAAAAAAAATAAAATGAGTTACACAGTGTTAAGCCTTGCCATTTTCAGACCTTTTTTTTGTTGTAAAATCTTGTTTTCATTGATGCAGCACACATACATTTGTTCACGGTTTTCTTGTTATTGAATAACTTGAAGAATTTTTTAAATGCTATTTTTTTCACTATGAGGCAAGTAGTTTCACTTGCTATAAAATGCGCACTCCAACCATCGTCTGCATCAATTTTATGCTTTGCACAGTTGCAAGGCACAGCCAAAGACAACTTTTCCGTTTTTCTCTTGAGCTGGCTAAGAGTCAAATGCCCACAGCAGAGCTCCTTTTCCTCCGTCCAGTGCCCTGCTTCTCTGCATCATCCAAGGTCTCAAGGACTCAAACCACCACTGTCTGCCTTGCACCTGAACCTGCCTCTGAAAATGCTGCTGTCGGCGTGTGCTTCCTTACTGGGCAGTCAGCGTGTACCATGCTTCTCAAAAATGTTTTTGTTTTTTTACATAGTGTTATAGGTCCATTTTGTCAAACTGGGTAATTCCTGCAACAGGCTACTTCAACTCTTCAAGGTTAACAGGGGATTTGAGCTCGGATCCTCATGCCTGTGCCAGCTCAAATACTGAGAAGCATCCAAAGTGGAACTTAGCCAATCTCAGAGAGGCCACAGGAAAAAATAGGGAAATCTGTAATGGCTTGGGAGGATTGAATACTCCTTGTATCTGGTTGTGCTAAACCTGACAGACATTAATACAAAGAAGTCACTGATTCTTGGTTTACTTTTTGGAGAAGCGTGGTCCAAGGATGTTCACACAACCAGGGACACCTATTAGAGATAAGACCAGAGTGTTGGCAGAACAGAATTTAGCAATTAAACAGTTGTCTGTGGGTGGGAATGCTCTGCACTAAGGGATTGGCATTAGGAAGCCGCAACCCACAGTATGAGATGTGAGAACCAGAGGATTATCAAATTAGATTTGAAGACAGGGGAAGGCAGAGTAAATATTTTAGGCTCTGATTCAAAGTCTGCTACGGTTCTTTGAAATAAGCATCCATATTTCATTCTGGAAATGTTTTAAGATTATATTAGACATGATGGCAAATAAGAATAAAAATCTAAGAAGAGATCTACATACACAAAGGTGTTATCCTGGGAGAGAACGTCTCTGAGTGTCAGGTTGCTGGGCTTTGGTACAGTGTCTGGAGGGGTATCACTGCCTTTGCATAGCACTCCTATGATTTCCTTATTAGCCTGTACATTTGCAGGCTCTATATTGGTTTTGTTGAGGGCTAGATAGACAGACTAGCATGGACCCTAGGTCCAGTTCAGTGCAGTTGTCCCCATTAATAGTTTTTTTTTTTCCCAGATCCATATCTTAGGATCTTAAGAAGCCAGCAGTGTCAAGGTAGTAGTCACTAGCTTAGACGTGTAGTGGAAAAGGGAGGCTGCAAAGCATTCGAATACCTTGGCATGGCTCTGGGGGGACGTGTGCCACACAGCGTGTGCTCTGGCAGCCAGAGCTGTGATGGGAGGGCCCCCGCGTGGAGATGCAGCAGATGCTCACGGGGGGACTGTTTTCTTCATTATCAGCACTGAGCTGTTGCATTGCTTCCCAACCAGCATGTTCTCAGCCAAGGAAAGCACCCTGCTGCCGGTGTCACTGCGAGGGGGGCTTTGCCAGCATAGCTCTAAGCACTAATGGCTATGATATTTTTCTCACACTTCCAGCCAGCGTAGCTGTGCTTGCAAACCTTTGCTCTTTAGGTCTGGCCTTGATAGTCAGTGACCAGCAAAACAGCTGTGGATGGTAGAGAAACGAAGACTTGCCAAGGGAAAAGAGGCCATAAATATGTATGTATGTAATATGGCCTAATTTATCACCTCCCCTATTCAGTGGCATTTAGTGCAAAGCCCTGAATACTTCAACCTCTTTTTTTTTTTTTTTTTTTGCCCAGGAGTTACAAGATTTTATGTCTTAATCTCCTAAGTTAATGTATTTTTGGAGGACAAATAAAAACAAAAATCCTTGAACATCTACTGCTGTGCATTCTTATTAGATGATGTGGAGAAAGAAGGATCGAAACGCTTTTCAGAGCAGGTGAAGCAGCCTCACATTAGGACTTAGCTGTTCTATCCATAACTAACCATGCATATTAAAGAAAGCAAATGCAAGCCTAAGAATAATTCCAATGGAAAATCAAGATATGCTATATATAAATGAGGAGTGATTTGTATTGATTCTCCATTGCCACAAATTCTGCATTTTCATTCAGAGCTATGCTTGTCTTCAGAAAGCCATTTTTCAAAATTGTCAGTGCCTGACAAAATATGCATACCTAGGCCTGCAGGGAGTGTGAACTTTGTATATTCTCTACTTGCTCTTACACAGTTTCAGCAAAATTTGTGCTCTGGCGAGAGGTTTAATGTCTTCCTCTGTTTGTCTTTGGTGTAGCTCCAAGTGCCCCTCCTCAGTCTGTTACTGTCCTGACAGTTGGAAACCACAACAGCACAAGCATCAGCATCTCTTGGGATCCTCCACCTCCAGATCACCAAAACGGAGTCATCCAGGAGTATAAGGTACAAAGGATGTTAAATGGGAGGTGTGGGAGGTTACGGAAACAGCCTGCTTTAATTAACAGACCAGTGCTGTTGTTCATGGACTTTGATTCTGACAAGGGTTATTGACAGCCATTTAATAATATGGAGAAGGAGTTCCAAGTGATTATGTCTTATTTTTTCTTTCATTTTAGGCAGTAATATTGTTATATTAAAAGCAAAAATATCATAAGCTTGATGTGGAGTAGAGCTCTAATTGGCAGTTAGTTTATGGTATTTCTCTTTCTTTCTCTTCCTTGCCGTGGAAAAAAAGAGAATTTTGTGGTGGGCAGAGGTGTTTTTGTGGGTTTTTTGTGTTTTGTTTTGCTAAAGCCTTCTCTAATCTCAAGACAGTATCTGAGAGTTTCTGCAATCTGGCAGAAAAGCTGTCAGGAAAGATCCTTCTCCTGCCCTCTGCAAAAACAATATTCAAAATACTTCAAGGTCAAAGTCAATAACTGGCTCTGGGAGAATCCAGGTCTTCTTCTGAGTACTGTCTTGGTCAAGATTCACAACCAGGTCGTTTGCTGAGAGGAATAGATTGAATCCCACATTATATACAGAGTTTATTATATCTGTGCTTCCTACATTGCTTGTCTTTTCTTCTCCTCTGTTACTATGATGGCTCAAAGTATCACCTGCTTATATATCACCTTAAATTTACTGTAGTCTACTTTGCTAGTGGAGCTACTAAGCTCATTTTTGCACAACTGTGTTTTCACACCATGGAAATATCCCGGTGTGCCTTCCGAGGGGTGGGGAGTTTAAAGGAAAAGCGCAGTCTAGGTGTCAGCGTTGTCACAGGGTTGCAGCTATGGAACACACTGTTTGGTAAATACATTGACTGTGGTCAGTTTGTATATCTACTGTGAAATCATTAGTTCAAATAATAGAAAACAGTTTCCTTGACAATTTTGCAAAGGGTAGAAATGGCAGTGTTAGGTTTTTGGGTTACAGTTGATTATTTCACAAAGAAAGATGTAATTTATTCTTCTGTACCTTGTGAGAACATCAGGAAAGGATAAAATACTTGCCTTTTAAATGAACTTATGTTTCAACTTCTTGTAGTTTATCATTAGTTCAGAGGGTTGTAGTAAGTGCTCAAAATATTTATGTGTAGCATAACACTTCTTTTGTTCTACTTCTGATCAATATCAAGATTTATTAATCCCAATATTTTATTGACCTCATTTTCGTATAATTTAATAATTATCTTTTGTCTTAATTCATCTTCATACAAACTCCAGTCTAAGTCAATATTAAACATCAATTCCATAATAATCTCAATTCTCTGCATATTATGATTTCATTGCTGTGTAGTCGGAGTCAGGAAATTGTGTAGTTCAAACATTACATAACGACTTTACTAGTGTAAATATTTTGTACATGCTTAGTAGAAACCAAGGTTTTCAGAGATGAGCTTGAAGAGTTTTTATACTTAAATATGCTATTTGATTTTAAAAAGAAGGTGAACATCCAGTAATTTCAAAATCATTAATCTGATTTTGAAAACGAAGAATAAAAATAATTCCATAACCCACATATCTTTCACGTATAGTTAAACTCTGTAATATTCCTGTATTTTGAAATTCACATGTCTGGAAGGTGTCTTTCCTCATATGCAATAACAGCACTTAAATCTTTATAACATACTAAAGACTGAGATCTACTGTGTGGTTTTGGTACCTTAAAATTTGACATAGGTGGAATTACGGAGCCTAAGTGTAAGAATGAATTGCAATAGTCTCTCCTCCGATTTCTGGTCTGCAAATAAGATCTACTTTTGGTTAGGTGAGTCAAAGTTTCTTTTGTCCTCCAAAATCTCCTTCTGTGGCTCACAGAGAAAAGATTGGATGTGATAAAACTCTGAGCAGGATCAAAAATAAGGATAATGAGGACATTATTGTGGAAAAGACACATCAGTTGGTTGCTGATTGTAGTTCCACCAATACTTTCTTCTGCTATTAGACTTACATAGTGTACATATGATACCCTTATGCATTTATTTCCATGCATAGAGTGGTACTAAATGCCTTCTTTAATAATACAAAAGCACCATATGCAGATAACATTAACTGAAGAAGAATCCTTAAAGCAGCTTAGTTCTGAAACATCTCAGAAAAATGTAGGAGAGAGAAATAAAAACAAACTGGAATGATACACCGTTCTCATCACAAAATGTTGATTCAGATAAAAGAGAATTTTGTGTTTGTTGAATAAATGAGTCAGGAACTGAAATCTAAATCTCTGAACAACTTAAATAATGGTAACAATGATAGCAGAAAGCAGGTGGGTACCTAGGCAAGTCCAAAATAAGTGACTGTCATGCAGCACCCTGATATGTCATATCTATGCACTGTTGTTCCTGAGTATGAAGAATTTCACATTTTTAACCCATCAACTTTTGTCCCAGATCTGGTGCCTAGGTAATGAGACGCGATTTCATGTCAACAAAACGGTAGACGCAGCCATTCGCTCGGTAGTAATAGGTGGCCTGTACCCAGGTATTCAGTACCGTGTGGAAGTCGCCGCAAGCACCAGCGCAGGCGTGGGAGTAAAAAGTGAGCCACAACCCATAATAATTGGTAAGTGACTATTCTGTTACTTTGTTTTGCTTGCTTAGACACTCAGAAATGCTTTCTTAAACCACGTCTGGAAGCATAAAAATCTGTGGAGCAAAAGACAAGGTGCAATTTGGATTGAGGTAGTGAGCTTTTAACGTCCTGCTGATATCGTTATCTTCTGTGTGTGCAGAACTCTCACAGAACACAGTGAAATAATTCCTTTTCTCCCTGAGACATATTAGAAATCAGCTTATCAAGTGAAACTAATTTAATTCTTTCTAATGAATTTACCACTTCTGCAGTTTGACAGATTTATGGAACTAGCAACTAGAGCTCCGTTTTCTGCCTGTTAAAAAGACTGTAATATTGCTTTACTTACACCGTTGGTGCCTAAGGCTCTATTTACAGCTGATTTTATGAACATTAGAAGTCGGTGTTTCTCCGCTATCAAAGAATAAGTGACTTCTATTCCAAACAGAGAGCAAAGGTGGTATTATCATCTCTTGCTTTGAAAGGACTGCCTCTTATTAGTGGTTTCCATACTGGATTAATTTCCTGACCTGAGGGAAGCATAGATTCTGTTTCTACTGAAATTCTTTCCAAGTATAAATTATGAATGCAGAAACAATATGGGAAGGGCGGGTGTAGGAAAAAAAGTAACCCTATTTAGCAAAACTGAAAGGAGGTGTGCGTAGTAGCACCTCTTCAGTGTGCCTAATACTGGAATTCTGTTACATTTTTCTGTATGATCAAATTTAATTATGCCTTTAATTACAGCTTGATTATATATTTTTATTGCTGGTTTGTGGGTATTTTTTGCTATTAAATGTTTTCTTTTCTAGAAAACATTATGAACAAAATGTCTCAGACATGAACCATTCTGTTATGGATAGGCTTTTGCAGAAGGCTGGACCCTAGGCATAGCTTATGCGTTTAATGATGTTTAAGATCTCCATGTGTCATGATACTTAGGTATTCCTATGTATTTCCCCCTTGTAGCAGAACTAGGGACATGCCAACTTTGGACATATGGTTACTGGAGAGGGAAATGCAAGGGCAGAGCTGAAGACAATGTTGGTTTTATAAAGAGGCAATCACAAAAACTCCAAAGAAAAGAGGGGGAAAAAAAGTCTTCTAGAACTGAAAGCAATAGATTGATCTTGGAAAATGAAGGGAACCTGTCCTCTAAAGACCTGGGTTTTGGGCCTTTGTGTAAATAACTTATGATGTGATATTAGTCTGTCTTTGCATTCACTTTGATCAGGGTTATTCAACTTCCCAGAGTACTGCTGAAAGGAGTCCATCCAACTAGAAGCTAAATGCACTGGTCTTGTTCCAGCAAAGCACTTAAGCGTGTTTCAATATAAGTGTGTGAGTAGTCTCGTGTCACTTAACTTGTTGTGAGTTAAACTTGCACTAAAGTGCTTTGCTGGATGATTGCCAGAATGCTCAGCCCCTAATCTGGATATAGCCCTCCATCCTATCTGTTTGCTTACAAAAACTGGCTGACATAATCAGGAATTAAGTCTGTAGAGATCTGTATTATTACATGAAGGAGGAAAGGGATGCTAAGATGCAAATTTAACAAATAAACTTAAAAAAAAAAGCTATTTGGCATTTAGAAACTTATTTTTGCCCTGTTAAACTCAGAGTGATATTTATTTGTTCCTTTAATGATCCCAGAATGTCTGTCTCAACAAGTCTGTCTGATAGCATCTCTGCACATTTACAGTCCTTTACATGAAAGTAATTAATAGAGTCTCTTCTGTTTGGCTTGAGTTTCTGTTCTCATTTCTTTTTTTCCCTTCTGGGAACACAAAGCTGGATGTGGTTACTACTTGTATGGTCTATATCTGCCTTTTCTGTACATTCCAGCTTTCTATTGCTTCTGAGCCAGAATTGCTGGCTATTTCCTCTGGTTGGTAAAGGCAACAGAGTTCAGGTGATACAATTTCTGAAAATTTGAGTTGGTAACACTTGATGTTTGACTAAGAATCAAAATTACAAAGCCAGAAAATATAATTGTTATGTAATTAAAATATAATTATGAGGTTTAAAAATTGGGTAGTGAACAAACCTTGTCACATAATCATGAATGGGTAAACATCAAGTGGTTGTTCCATAATGGCATCCCACCTGGCCCAGTGCCTCGCTGTACTATTTCACAGCATGCAAAGAGAATGAACAACTAAAGGAATGCTTAAGCCTGGAGAGAGCAGGACGGTGAGGAAGAACAACCGAGGCTTATTGCTAACCAGTGTGGCTTTCGTTGTCACAGAATGCAGAGACCAGGGTGGAAGAGAAACACCTCCTTTCTTCTAACGACAGAGGAGACGTTGTTCTAGGGAGTTGTTCTGCAAATGGCTGATGTTCGTCATCTACTGAGTTCCAGGATCAGGTCTAGATAACAAGCTAATACAAGTCCAGGAAGCAGAAGGCAGGAGACTGTTGAGTGATAGAAAGTCTATTATTTCGTTAGTTGGGAATTGTGTGGCTCTTACCAGAGTACTTTAAGCAGGATGTTTAAAAATTGCGTAGACGGATCAAAGAGAGTCAAGACTAAGATTTTTCTGATCACTATTGATATGGAATGCCGGAAACAAAATTGAAGCTAGCAATATTTCTGTTATTTCTCTTGATCAGTTGGCCTCTTCCTGCTCACATTCCATCATTGGCATAATAATATGAGGAACAGCTGCAAACTTTCACAGTAATAGGTACAATTGAATCTGATGTGTCTAATTAATTTTTAGTCCGACAAATTAGTTTTGTTCTTCATTACTCTCCAATGGGAGGAAGACATTATATTTCATTATGTTTTTGTCTTCAGGAACAATGGAGCGTTGCAGGTCACACACATCCCTTGTCTGTGTTCTAATTAGTTGAACTGACAGCATTGTTACAGAAACACCTGCACTATATGAAATAGTACCCTGGTACCTTGGATGACATATATACCACTTCTGATTAAATGTTATCTGAAGAAATATAAAACTAGTGTCATTTGTTTGCCCAAACTCCTATGTTTGTATTAATTTTACTCAACATCAGTGGGTAACATTCATGGTGTATCCATTTTTTCTCAGCCCCTGAATTCACAAAGCATATGTTACTGTGACATTTAAATGAATTATTACTTTTGCACGTGTAATTACTAGGCACTGGGAGGGTAGAGCAAACACCAGACTGCTAACTTTAGAAGGTAATTTGGAGACAGATTGCACCTTCCCCCAGAAGAGCCCTTGGGAGATTATAAAGTCCACTGAAACCTCTCTCCGGGCTCTCTGCCATTTGTTCCCACACCCTCCATTGAAAGACGACCAGTTTTTGACCTCAAAATAAAGCCAGGATCTTCAGCAGCAGAACATTTTGCAGCCTTTAGCAGAAGGCAGTCATTCTTTTATTGAAAGCGGGAGGATCCGCTGCTCAAGCTGACGTACCCAGAGCACTTCTTCCCCGCTCCTCTCCACGGCTCTTCTCCACGCCACCGATGCGGGGTGGACATGACCTGCTTGCTCACCTTCCTGCTGCTGTTACCTGGCCTCCAAAGGGCGCAGAAATTAACTGAAAGTTAATGCCAATTAGAGCTACATGAACTCCCATGCTGATTTCTATTAGAAAATCAATTGTGTGCTTAGAAGAGCATGCTACAGAGTGCCTCTTTCTATTAAGTTTTGCCCTCAGCACCTCCTCCTTTTGCACTGGGTTGCACCTATAGATTGTTTCTATGGGCAACGAGGAAAGGGCAAATCCTGCAAAGGAGCCACCGCTGCCTCCCCTCTTTTCCTTGCTCACTGGGTTTTTAATCTCTCGTACTATGTCAGGGTGGAAACTTTTGGGCTTTTGTTGGCAGGAGGAAATAGGAGTGCTTTGGTTGGAGAGGGCTGCAGCAATTACCTGCCCTTGATGCCAGCAAAGCTCACCAGCAGGACCCAGTATAGAGCAGTGCGGGGCAAGGTCTTTACGCCACGTTTCTGTGCGTGAGCAGGCAGTGAGGGCTGCTCTGTGGGAACGGCTCGCTGTGCGGGAGGGCTGCCTTGTTGGTGGAACAGCGCTACTGAACCCACGCCAAGCTCTCACACAGCTTCAGCAGTTTGTTTGCAACAGCAGACGGTCATCATTGCTAAATATTGACATGGTGATGAAAGAGGGAAAGCTTAATAAAATCTCAGAGATCATTAACAGTGTTATAGCAATGCAATGCACTGCACTGCATTTCTTCCGGAGTTACTTGATCCAGCTCCGAGCACCATGGAGGGCGCAGAGCTGCCCTTGCACCGGGGCACTGCCATGACAGGCACAATCCAACGTCTGCCAGCCAAGGTGCCATCAGCGAAACCTTCGGCCTTGGTTCTTATTCACCACTTGATCTAGGCTGTTGGTCTGCTGCAGAGAGCCCTTCCTGGAAATAAAGTGGATAGCATCCGGCTTTTCTCTCCTGTATCTGCTTTAGCAAATGACCTTGTTTGTTTGCTTTAGAGCAGAGCCAGCATGCTGACACAGCGGCAGTTTAGTTTCAATAAGTGACTAGTAGATTTAACCATTGCTGAAATATAGAAGAGGAATACATACATTTTCACAGTAGGGTGTTATTCTACAATATTTTAAACAATTTTCTCCAAATGACCTTTTCAGTGCTTTATTCCCATATATATCTTCTGTTACTCCATGTGTGATATGCTGTTCGAACTGAGAATTGTGGGTTTTCTCCTCAGAAAACAAGCTACTCCTGCGGCTTGAAATCTCTCTTCTACGTTTATACAGGCATCTGATAATAAAGCATCTACGCTTTGAAAATTGAGCTAAATAAATCCTTTTTGCCCAAAATGATGGCTAATTCCTTCACCACTTCTAAAAGAAAGTGTAGATATAGTTTATGTGAAATGTATATAGAATCACATTGCACATGTAGAACGTATACATATAGAGATGTTCCGCATTTCCCAACTTTAAAACCAACTAGGGTGTTGACAGGGGAGGTTTGAACTAAAAACTTTTCTATTCTGGCTCTGTATGCTTTATATTTCCCGAATTTTTGTCCACAGTTTTTATAAGCATTTGTTTTCAAGCTAGACACTAAGATGTTCTTATTAGAGAAAAACTTATTAGTTATTAGTTACTTGATATATTTCTTGAAGTTCTGTGCTTCAGGTTCATCGCATGCAGCCTATTAAATTTATGAAGTTATGAAGTTCATGCTATGCTGCCCATAATTATGAAAAAAATACATTGGTATATTGTTAAAAGACTTTGGATTGTGATCTACTAGGTTAGTGAGGACAGTGCTATAGAGCTCTCTTTTCAAATATGTATTTCCAAAATTGCAATGGTTTATGGGTTCCCTTACTAGAAACATGGCTTTTCCGGTGAGCATTAGTACTGTATAAAGCTGCCCCGGTGTGGATAATTCTTTAGAGGCACATAACAGCTTTTTAATTTTCATTTGCAGTACCTAGTTGCATTGCAGCGTCCATAATAAATATGTTCTGTTGGCTTTCTTTTGTACAGGAGGTCGTAATGAAGTTGTCATCACCGAGAATAACAACAGCATAACTGAGCAAATCACCGATGTTGTCAAACAGCCTGCCTTTATAGCTGGCATCGGCGGGGCCTGTTGGGTCATTCTGATGGGCTTCAGCATCTGGCTCTACTGGCGCAGAAAGAAGAGGAAGGGGCTTAGCAATTACGCGGGTAAGAACAGTCACTATTTATCGCCATCTCATCAGGTTCTCTCACGAAGAGCGCAGCTGCTGTTGAACCCAAAACCACGATGACCTTACGACAGAGGTGGACTGGGTGAATTGCGTATGCTTGTTTTAAGTGTATGCTGTGAAAACTCCAGCCTATGAGAAGCTTTAAATGCATTGCTCTGAACCACATTTCATCATTGTCATAAGACAGTCTTTATTTTTACATTTCGCACACATTTAGCATTAAACAAAGTACGAAGAGGGTTAACTGTACCTCTGATTCCTTGCTTGGAAGGCACTCTGTTAGTGGTCCAGCTTGAGCGCAGGAGTGTGTGAGACTAAATCCTTACATGAAAAGTTAGAAAGAGTATTTAATCTTCTTTTTCATTCCTATGCATTTCCAGATTTTTTGAACCACATAGATGGGAAACAAACTGAGATACTTAGCCACCAACTCCCTACATGAAACTAGAGGAGAAAATGATGCATTAGCTAAAGAGGGGTGGTCAAGTTTACCAGTAATAGAGCCGTAGGAAGCTTTGTCTTGGAGATGAAACTGCCTTACAGGGCGATGCCTTTTTACATAAAGCAGGGTGCTCCAAATTAGGTTTAGAAAACCACAGTTGGAAAAGCAAGTGCATCCACTATATGAAAATTTTTCTTCCTCACTCTCCAAAACTTTCTGTTCTGTGTTTATTCTGTGCTTCAGGAATCTTAACGGATATTTAAGCAGGCAGATGAGTATAGCATTACCAAAGAAATGGGATGCTCTAAAACGTAATTTAAACATGAAAAACCTCTTCTTCAAACATTGGGACAGTTTCTCATGTAGTTCTTATTGTACAATACATTTAATAAGAGAAAGCATTTTCTGTTTGAGCAAGATTTGCACATTTGAGTTTTCAGTATGTTTGCTTTTGGCACTGTATCAGTCTATGTCATACCAATATTCTGCTGCTTTGCAAATTACCACATGAACAAGAAGTCACAGTTTTCCCCATGTTACTGAGCATCTCTAAGTAATCTTTCTATGGCCAAAACCCAACAGTCATTCCCTGTTCTAATCCACACAGACCTGCCTCTTCCTAACCCTGGCTTTAGCCACCATCAGACCTCTCAATGGCCTCATTGTGTTCACTAACCCTGAAGAAAACAATTCACAGCTTTAGAGGCATTTTGTTGTTGTTCTTGGTTTTTTAATCCTGGTCTCTCCCCTGCTGTATTAGTTTTCTGACAGCTTAGTGAAATCAGCCCTCAAGCCAGCACACTGGAAGAATGGAGAAGATGATAAACTTTCCAAAGGCAACAGGCTTTTAAATTGACACAGTTCACTGTGGAGCATCAACTTGAGTGACCATGTAGCTTATATCATTCATAGGTTCTGCTTTTTGATGAGGTATTTTTTTATTTCCTTTAACAGCAGTGACAACTTCTACTCTGAGAGGTGGTATTAATCAAGAAACTAATATATATATTACATGTACCTCCACAAGTGCTTATATGATACCCAGATTCTTTATATTAAGAGTTAGGCTAGTATTCCTCTTCAAAAACTGTCATATGCATTGGATACAAACTAAGATTACATTTCCCCCCCTCCTCTTTTTTTTTTTTTAACAAGCAGAATTATTAGTCCTGTATGTGAGTTGGCTTAGCTATTTTTTTAACTTTGAGAGCAAAGTCTTTAACACATTAAAATATATCACTGTAAATGGTAATAATAGTTGTTGTAAATGGTTGTAATAGTCATTATAAACAGTGTGTCTCCTGCAACTCATTACTTCTCATGATGTCTGCTGCATCTACTTGTAGTGTGAACATTGGATCATGACAGATTTTCCATTATCACAATTACAAAATAATGAATGCTTTCTGCAAAGAAAGTTTGTAAGAGATTGTGTTTCAGGATTCATCCTTATGTTTACAGTTTGGAGAAGAGCATGTCCTCAGCTGTGACTGTCATAATTCACTGCTCACCTTTCCAACTGTCATTTCTCATTGGCTGCTGGCTGGTTAGTACTTAAAGCTCAAATGTTACGTCCTGCGTATGATATGAAGCCGTAACTGAGAGAATTCCAGAGGAAACTCCTGCCCTGCAATTAGCGCTTGTTGTCAGGGTCTGTAACTCACAATGTGCTTTCTTGTTTTGCAGTTCAGTCCTTCACCTTCACCCCTGCAGGTACTGTCCATTAGTCTGTCTGTTACGTCACCAGTGCATCGTTGCAAACATGAGCTACCTAAGTGTTTATAAACATGTGAGGTATGCAGAATTAAAACCAAATGAAAGGAGAAATACCACTCCTACCTATCTGTGACAGTAATGTAGCATGAATTCTCATAGTGGTATCAAGGGAAAGTGCAATCTGCCATCCTTAGCTCCTCTGTCATTGTAATTCTGCATACTTCTGCATACTCATCTAACTCTTCAAAACAGTGCAGTTTTGAAAGTAATTTGCAGGACAAAATGCTTGAACTAACATAACATGAACAAGCATCAGCTGCATATGGTCAAATTTTCATCTTGAGGCTCCAAGAAAGTATCATAATTATTTCGGAAGATCTGCTAATTAGAGAAGTAGAACTTGCCCTTACTTAAGCTGTTAGCTGTGTATACATCTGCCTTACTTCCAGGTATCCAGCTCTGCACTCAATCCAGCGATTAAGCTATGCACACATTCCCTTTACAGTATTTTTAATTTGAACTATTTACTTTTATTCTGTCTCTCCATTTCAAAGCTAATTTCCTAATTGTCGTTTCTTTAACAAACATAGCATACGGCACACCATTATCGTAAGCATGATTAAAGATATGTGAAGAATAAACAAGTATGGCTTGAGCAGCAGGTTGCAAGCAGCCTAGTCAACATATGGGTAGCCAAGAGAAATAGTGTATACAATTAGTAGTAATAATTAATACAAATAATGAGCTTCAGTTCTCATATCTAAGCTTGAGAGTGAAAAACTTAAAAAATAGTTATACCTCAGTGTTACACTATAACCAAGTGATAAATTTCAGTGTTTTCCAGGAGGATTATGTAGTATTTTGGGTGCGTAGAGTGTCCTCTCAATTCCACTTGCCAAGGCTGTCTCTTCTGTCCCCTCTGACATCCATATGGTGGAAGCCAATCCTCCTATTGCGTAGTGGAACCAGTTCCCATGCTCAACTAGCTGCTTTCCAGCTGTCTTATTTTCAGCCACAGCTTGCACATTTTAGCTTGGCAGAAAAGAGCAGCTGACGGTTGAGGACGTTGAGTGAAGGTGGCATTGTCTGCCCGAGGGGCCTGTGAGAGTGCTGCGGAGAACTGCTCTCATGGAGGGATTTCGGGGGCTCATGAATTGCTCGTTCTGGGTTCTTGGCATGTTTGTTCAAGTCAGACTTAGCTGTGGCACAACACATCTCGGTCTAAAAGCTGCACTTGCTTTGCTTTGGGACACACCATACAAATTTTCCCAAAATGGAATAATAAGGCTTTGCATTTGGTTCCTATGACTGTGCCACTGTCAGCCGCCTGTTGCTGTAGGGTGGTAAGTTTTTTCCATTTTTTTTGTGGCTGACATTGGCACAACACCGGGTTGAGTTGGAGCCACAGGGAATGTGCATGATTCAGTGCAGTTGTTCCACGCATGCTGGGCAGCTAGGATATGTCAGAGGCACTGCCAAAAGTTCACGTTTTGTACAAGAGCTTCAACATTTCATGGATTTTTGAGAACCATAGCAATATGACACTCTATTCCCTGGTCAATGATCATTTCTGGAGGTGGCTGAGAATCTATGTCATACAGTAGTTAAGTCTACCAAATTACAGTGTCTCAAAAAATCATGACTTGTAAAAATTTTGAAAGAACATAGTCCATGCTTTTATTTTCATTCCCAAAGTTCTCTAAGATACGTTTTTAGTTCTCTAGTATTCGAATTTTTGATTGGTGATCTCATTTAGATAAACACATCCATGCTTGTGGAGATTTGATGATATTCAAAACTGTATGTTTCCCCTTCATTGTTATGATTCACAAACACTACATTAGTTGCAGATATAAATATTTAGACAGTGTTATGTAGCTTTCAGAATCTCGTCAGAGATAGCTGTCAGTAAAGTTATAACAGAGATGAATTTATCCCAATCATCAGACATTTTAGAAGGTGCACACCTTTTGTTCAAACATGTGCTTTAAATTCTTCCTTTGGAAAAAAAAAAAAAAAACATGATGTGCAAATTTAAGTGTATCACTAATTTGATTGAATGTATTTATGGAATATTTACATAGTCACTCTGTTTTAGAAACAGTTCTCGCTGAATAAAAACCTAAATAACATTTTTTTCAGTTATTTGTGAGATGGATTTGGGAGTTTTTTTCAGTTCTGTTTGCATACATGTAGAAATTAGAACTCTACAAATATCTGTTTAAAGCTATGGATTCTGCAGTTATTTTTTAGTTGCTTAAAAACATTCCACCTGATCAATTTCAGATTATGGGTCATGCATTAAGTCTTTACTGGGGCTATTTGTTATGTATCTTGTGATTAGACACCTAAGTGGCTAGGACTACTTGCTATTTTTATTCTGTGATAAGACACCTAAGTGGCATAATTTCTGCTTTATGACTAAGCTATGATAACATTCCGCAGAAAAGAAGAACAAACAGCAAACGTGCTGTTGGTAAAGATTTGTGCCAGGGAAGAGTAATTTGCTGAGTTAAAATTTATTAAGCTTTCTGTATTTGTGAATATTTTCATAAGCACTGATTGATAGTTCAGATGCTCACAAAGAAAACGTGACATTCAAAATCATAGCTATATCTTTTACGTATTCACAGTTGAACTGACTCTAGTAGGTACTAAGCTGTTAGTACATGCATTGCTTTTTCTTCCACTTTTCCTTTCCCCATCATGACTCATCATTAGGCGTTGAATCTGGGTAGTTATAGTGCTGCAGAAAGCATGGTTTTCAACTATTTTAGTTAGATGAGTGTCTCACTTACCCAGTCAATAGTAGTGCCATGTTCTGCAAGTGTACAAGATTGTACATTTTGGGGAACATGACACATTTTTAGCAAAAAACAAATATTGCACAGAGAAACTGACTCCATGTGTTATTCTTTTTTGAGTGATCAGTTCTGTGATACAGAGAGTGGTCTTTTTGGTCATTGGTTATGATCCCAGGAAGAAAGGCACTCAGGCTCTGTAAAATATCACTTTAAATGCCATATATTACAGATAACACTAAAAAAAATGAGGAGGATTAGTATAGTGTTGTGAAGTGGATCCCTTCAAGTGCTGGAAACCTCAAAATGTGCAGCACTGCACAGGTGCTCACTGGAGAGTGAGGGCACAGCCTGCCTGATGGATCCTGTCCCGGGAAATGGTTACTCCATTTTTACCTTTTGGGTTCTTACATGATTTCCTTAACACAAAACTATTCATCATCTCTGCTGTGAAATGAGGAGAAGCTGTCAGATAAAGACAAGGACTTGCAGGTGGTGTAATGCCAAGCGGGAGCTACCTTCAGGCTCCTTCGTTAAAATTAGCTGCTAAGGGGCCAAGGGGCTGGTGCAGCACAACGTGGGCCCACAGGCCAGGCTGTTGTGCCACGCTGCACAGCGTGGCGTGGGCCTGCTCATGGCTGTCCTGAGGGTGCCTGCTCAGGGTGGCTGTCCCGAGGGTGCCTCGCTCTGCAGGCTGCAGGGGTCTTCCAGCTAGGATCACTGCAGCGGTCAACCGTAGTTCTGGTTGCCCACATACATGCAAGTGCTTTTATGGGTTTCCACGCGGTACAAAAAGAGGAAGCTGCTGCAACACAGATATCTGACCGCTTGCAGTATAACATAAGAATTGTTTCCTTCCCATCCATTGCAATGGCAGAACAACATTTGTTTATTTAGCACTGGAGGTTGTAATTCTCTTTTCAGCTTTCAGTTTTCATACTGAAATGCACAGAATCCATTTATAGAAGTAAGAAGAATATCATTTATCTGCTTATCATTCCTGTGCCATCAAGCTCATGGTCTGCCAGTAACCACTCACTTGAATACTCAGGTGTTTTCAAGAGTGTCTAGGCCATCAGCCATGCAAGGAAAGTAAATATGTATTTTCATTTATGAGTAGGGAAGCTTATTGAGAGACTAGTGCTCCTTGGGATTAAAGATTTCATGAAACCAAGTAAATAAAAACAAATTAAAAATAGATAGAGAAAGAATTATGGAATGCAACACATTTTATGCACAACTCCTAAAACTGTTAAATGAGGATAAATTATTTGACAGATTCCAAAGGCAGGCAGAAGTTTGATGGAATTTTTATATGCTGATTATCTCTTCTGAGTTAATTCTTATTAAAAGAGGATTAATCTACATTCATATTTGAGGAATGGCTTATCAGAAAAAGGAATGAGGCTTGGCTGGCAACATTAAAGTTTTCATTTGTGCTGGGAAAATGTGGCCTACTGGAGATAGGCGCACAGAAAGCTTTCTAAAGCTTTCTTGCCTCAGAATGTCAACTTACTATACATTTGTATTTTTCCAGTTATAGCAGGCATGAAGATTAAGTTTAACCTTGTCAGATAATATTAGTAAATAGTATGGGTACATTCTTATATATTTTTTTAAAAAAAGCGTGTAAAAAGATCTTTAGCATGTGCTGTTTTTCATACAAATATATAAAATATAATTTCCTTAAATATTTATACATTTAAAATGCACTTTGCCTTATAGTCTGCATTTTCACAGTGCTTGAAGTATTCCTTGAAAATGTCTTTATACAGAGGTTATTTTTTTCATCTTTTGAAAACCAATCTCATCCCTGCTGGTCTTCAGCCGTTCTGAGAACACGTATCGGATACAGAGAATGCTGAAAGAGCTTTTTTTGCTTCCTCAGTGATAAAAAACGAGGGAGATGGGTGGCTCAGGGAGACGGACATCCTTCCCTTCCTCCTCTTACATTGCCCCTTGAAATTACTCTGCATCTTTTTGAAGTGGAGGCAGGCTGAATAAAGCCAGCTGTCTGTGTGTTTTATTTTTACAGTGACATCTACATGTCTGCATTGCATTAAGTATGCTCCTATTCAGGCCGTTAGGCTTGCTTCGTAATTGCAGAAATCAAACTGCAGGCAAAAATGCTGACAAAACGTACGGCAGGAATGATAAACCCAGTGCTTATGTTGGCAGCCTGGCCCTATCTTCTATCGTTAGCTATCTTTCCTTTCACAATATTGATGTTAAAAGAACGGCACCTTCTATCTCCACCTTCAGGTACCCCTTTTACAGGATGTATCAGGAATTTGATTATTTTTTTCTGTGATGTCCGAATGACATCTTCACTCTTCCAAAGGGATTTTGATTAGCTTAGTTGGTAGACCAGAGCCTTTTTCAACAAGAACAACACGTACAATATTTCCTTGTTTCTTTTCTTACGAAGATTATAACCATCCTTGCACTGTGGTACAGGATCGATGAGAAAGAGGAAGAACCTGTATTCTTTCTCAATCTCATACTTTTTATGTAAACCAGATACAGTCTTGTCCAGAAAAAAAAAGAGCAATATAGCAGCAAAGCTAGTTTCTTTTTGATAGTCTTTTTCGAATTCAGTGCTAAGCTGAACTTTTTTTTTTCCCTAAAATACATGGTTTATACTGGGAGAAAAAAAATATTTATAGAAAGAAGCAGGAAATGGTTTACCACCACCAGTATACACAGGTAGCAGTAAAGAGAGTAGATGCTGTGATACGTGTCTCTTCACAACCAGATGATGTGCCACAGCCAATCTGCAATAACTATGGCTCCATAGCTATAGATAGGTATCTCACAGCATGTCCTAAAGTTTTTTCCATACTTCACTGCACAGAAAATAAAACACGTCTGGCAGGTGTTGTGGTTGCAGCCTCACACTAGCTCCCCTATTTTAGCTTTGCTTTATAAAGGTACATTAGGGATACAAATGCTTTGGAGACCATAAATATTGATTTTGTTTTCCATTTCACATAGTTAAAATCTCACACACTTGTACATACTATGTGAGTGATGACAATATTACTTTAAAATTATTTCTGGTAGTCTGTAGCCTAAACAAAGCCATTAATCCCAGGAAGTTTTCAGAAAATATGTTGTACAGGAATTCTCTTGGAATAGTAAAACTTTATTTTTAAGATTTGTTACTGAATACATATCTGGTTTTGGTTTTACTTATTTCTGGAAGGATCAGCTGTTGTTTTGACAAATGCAGGAAGTTATAGAAATGGAGTATAAAATGAGAAGGGGAGGAGGAGAAAGAAAACAGTATCTATATTAAAGTGCTAATGTACTTTGGTGCAGCATATTTGGAAACATAGCAAGTCAGTACTCACTGCTTTTACCACGTGATGTCTACACCACCTCAGATTATTCACTTTTAAGCAGAGGGTGATGTAATTAGCTGCAATGTTTTTAATATGTCTTGTTTTTTAAAACAGGCTTGAATTTAATACTTCCCATACTTGCATTTGATTTCCTTTTCATAAATTGGCTTGATTACATCTCTTCCTAATTCAGTTTTAAATATTTTGATATGATACCTGGCAACAGTGATTTTCTGATATTGATATTACCCTGTTTTGTGGTGATGGGTAATTAATCAACCAACCCAAGCAGTCTTCTAGCAGGGCTTCCAAAGGGCAGTTTTGTCCCGTATTTTTTATGTGTATGATAAGAATTACCCTAGAAACTGATAAAGTTGCAAGTGCGCTATGAAGTATCAGAAGTATTTTGCCCGTGGGTTTATGTCTTTGATATTTTTAAAATATCACAGTATTTCCTTCAGATGTAGTACTTTTATCTGCTTAAAATGACCATGTGTTACGCAAAGCCTAATCCTGATTTAGTGTAGCTTGAAGTAATGTTAGGAAAACCTTGCTAATAGTCTGGTAGGTGTAAAATATTAAAAGGGATGTCTATGTCAGACAGGTAAAAAAAAATCCCAAATGGGGGCCTGTTCCCAGGCTCTTCTGTTCCTCTCTGCAATTCTCAGACATCTTTAAGGATGCAGGTGTCTAGGATATAGAAATAATCTACTCCTCTGCCTTATCTGCTCTTGACAATAAATAATGGAATATTGCCACTGAGAAACACAGTAGTTTTTTGTCTTTTTTACAAAATACTTGCTCATGATTCAAAAAGGAGCATCAAGCGTTGTCAATTAGTATCCCATTAGTAATACAGCTTTACCTATATTGCCCTGAAATGTAATCCTGTTAATATAATTAAGAGACAGATTTTTTTTTTTTTTTTTTTTTTTTTTTTTTGTCAAATACTCCTTAATGGAGCCATGAAAAGATTTGTATGCCTCTGAACATATCCTTGGCATCCCGGATGGCAAGACACAAAACACTTTCTTCTTCTCTCCGGCACTGATGTGGGTGTGTTTATGTGTGCGTGCTCTTTCTTCTACTGGACCTTTACTGAAAACAGAGTAACTTTATGGGTTTTTTTGGCACCCTTAAGCTCCGATAGAGCTGCCACCTCTCTGTATTTGTCCTGGGAGACTGTGTATTTGTGGGGTGACATTATCCTACTGCATTATGGCGTGATGCTTTTAACTCGCTGGAGCAATGCCATTATGGACAGAAGCAGGAGCAGGCCAAGAAAACCATCCCGTCACAGGGCACGGTCTTATACCACAAAGTCATATGAAGGGGCCTGTGGGAAATGCAGGGCTCTTTACCCATGCTGCCAGTTTGCCTTGCAAGCTGTGGAGCAAATTGATGTTAGTCAATAATGTGCAGTGAAATCCCAAACAGATTGTAATCCTAAGTGAGTTTGATCGTTTTTGATAATTTCTGTACTTCATTACATGATGATGCCAAGAGGCCTCCAATGTTGGACATGAAGAAATTTGAATTGTTATTTATAATTAACACTAATGGATTTTTCCCTGTCTTATATGTGTGTGTGTGTGTGTATGTACGTTTGTTTTGTTTTTTTTCCAACCAAAATACAGTCATTTTCCAAAGAGGAGATGGAGGACTAATGAGCAATGGAAGGTATGTTTCATTGTAAAGAGGTCTGTTTCCATCATGTGTGTTTCTAAAATTAGGAGTCTGGAAAATTCTATAGGTGATACTCTTTGGTAATAAATGATCATTTATAAGATTGACAATTCTAGAAGGAGTTAAATAGCCTACCACCAGGTTTAATGATCTATCTGCTCTGCACTTTGGAGGAATCAAGTCCAGATGTTTCATATCTCCCAGATGCCCTGGAAGAAATTAGTAGTAAATATCACAAGGAATGTGTTCATTTGTTACTAAGATGTTTATTGCATTAATTAGACATTAGCAAATGAAGTTGCTGTTGTTTAAGGCTCCTTATTGGCTCCCACTAAATTGCTGTGAGTGAACAATTACACATAATCGATCACAAAATAAATGATTCATGGATGATGAATAGGTTAGAGATTGATAGGACTGAATTCCACAACTTTGGCTACTCAATTGAAATTGATAAAAGCTGATAACAGACCCATATATCCTCATCTATTTTCCCTTTGCCAATAAGGAGATTGTAATTAGGCTCTGGCAATAACTTCCAATCTCCCATTTAATCAATATTTTAGCAAAAAGAGATTAGGCCTAATGGGAGCTAGTGGATGTGGCAAGAAGGCTGCTGGGTCTTCTTATTGCCGTTTCCATAGAAACCTCTATGTTTCTTTTAGGCATAGTATCAGGCCCGCCCGGGGTCTAGCAGAAATGAAGTGTAGTCATTATAGATGTTGCTCCAACTTCATGAGTGCTTCCGAACTCCAGAGCTTGGGCAGAGGGTTTTTGTTTGCTTGGTTTTTTTTTGTTGTTGTTTTTGTTTTGTTTTGGTTTTTTTGCATGAAGTGATTTGTTTTCCTTGTTTAGCACAAATATGAACAATCCCAATGCCTTGCCAAATTTCACACTGCTTATCCCGGGGTGAGAGACACGCAGTGCCTTACAGGCCACGCTTACTGTTTCTTCCAGCGTACTTGCTGTTTAAGCCTGCTCTCCCGGTCTGACGCCACCAGAATATGAAAGCATGTGGTAGTCACAGATAAAGATAGCTGTGGACTTTCCATTAATCCTACTCAAACCTGTTTGCCTCTAAACCATACAAGAGTGCTCAGAGGAAGAGTTACCAGCCTGTGGATGACAGAGGTGCATTTGGGATGCAAGGGAGGAAAGAAATAGTAGCCCAAAGTCCTGGAAATGGCTGATACAGAGCAATCAGTTTGAGTGATTGCTCCCTTGAGGTGGCAATTTATCATGCAGCCCTGGTTTGGGATCCCACGATGGTACTGCCTACCTCCTGTTTCACACAGACAACGGAGTTCATTGGGATTCCGGCAGAATCACGACTGATGCCTGGTCCCAGTTCTACTGACAAAGATGATTTGTACATACCCTTAATTAACTGCTCAAGGTCTTTAAATCATCAAAGCCTACACAATTTTAATTTGAAATACATTGAACTCTCCTAAACCGGTTGCTTCACATGGTGGTGGGAGAAAAGTGATGTGGTCTATTCAGTTGCACTTGTGTCCATGTTGTCTCATACATATTTTACTGTTTAATAAATAAATATTTTAAAATATATATTTACACGTATATATTTGTATGTATATCTTTTTTTTTATTCTGCTTCAGTCGACCAGGTCTGTTGAATGCAAGTGACCCCAGTTATCCTTGGCTTGCAGACTCTTGGCCTGCCACAAGTCTGCCAGTAAACAACAGCACTAGAATAAAGTCCAGGCAAGTCTGTTAAGAACTGTCCTCAGTCTCAACCATAATGCATAAAGAAGGTCTCAAAGAGCTTCATAAACTTTTCTTCTTTTTGGAGGGAAGAGCAGACAAAAGGAATGATTTAGATATTTCAGGGTTTTTTTTTCACAGTTGAATTGAGAGAGACCCTTTGGTGAGGGGAGATAATGTTTTCTAACTAGGGTGATTAATCTTTAAAGAGTTTACTTTCAAATGTTCTACTCAAATGGGAGTTTTAAAAAATCAAAGTAATATTCAAAACTTTCTGTTACGTTCTTGGTTTTTGTTATGCTATAGTACAAGTAATGCCCCAGAGTGACGTTCACAGGGAAACTTCTTAACATAAATAAGTATATGTTTAAGACATAAGTAAGGAAACAAAAATCAGAACAATTTTATATGTGAAAAATACATTTAAATGCAAAAAAATCAATAAAAGCATCAAATGATTAAATGTAAAAAGATTTTAATTTTGAACTGTATCAAAATCCTACTCTTTGGTTATGCATTCCATGCAAAACTTCTTCCCTCTGGCTTTACTAACTTCAAATTGTTTTAAAACACTTTAGATATATTTTCCATATAAAAATGGTTTAAAGCTCCTGTCTTGCAAAAATGTTATTGTAAAGTAAACAAATCTTTTGATAATATTTAGAAGGCAGTTGGATGTCTGCCAGCTTCTTTTCTGTAAATATCTTGAGAATATGACTCTTTAGTACTTTTCCATCTTTTCATGAGCTCACATAATACAGATAAATTAACATTTTATTTTAGCATTTGACTCTATAAGACTCCCGTATAAGACTTACAGTTTGAACTGGAAGCATAGTTTAAAGCTTTTGGCTTCTCTGTGGATGAGGCATAGGTCCAGTATTCATTCAAGAGATGCAATATCTATATTTGGAATTTCAGCTGAATTCCACCTATAATCTTTACAGTCAAGCTTGCACTTGTATTGTGGCTGTTTTGGAACTTGCCACTATCTATTTTAACAGTTCCATTTTAGATACTGCTGCTGTCTTTCTGTCTAGTATGAATGAACTATAAAGGCTGAACTTGAGACTTTTATTGGTATAATATCTGAAATGATGCAAAAAGTCTGTAAGAACGTTATGATCAGTAAACCATCAATCACTCTGGCGCAGAAACTGAGGAGGGCAATTTTCACACTGCCTTTCAAAAGCAACATCCACATTATGTCCTGGCGAGACACTTGAGAACAAGACTATGGGTGGGAAGCACTGGCTAAGTTTGCGGACACGTAATACCCCAAAGTTGTACTGTGATTCCAAAGCAACAAGGAGGAGTCCCTCAGAAAATCCCTTCAGAACTGTTTGAATTATTGCAAGAGCTACAAAACAAGATAGGTTTTGGAGCGACTTGCAGGAAAAAGGCGGAAAAAAAAAAAAAAAAAAGATGCTTGTCTGATCTAAAATATACAGAGGTTTTCTAGTATGTTGGTAAAATCTCACTTATTTTTACTACATGATTATGGCACATTGTAAAAGGGCATTTTCATAGCTCTTTGAGTGCTTAGTGTATACATCTCATGAGCTAAAAATACTTATCTGTGATTCTGTTGAAAATTCCCAATATGTCTAGTGAATTTCAGTTTATTAGCAAAGCAGACTGAGAATTCTTGGCTGGTGGGAAGTGCTGTAGCTTTCCATTCAACTATGTGCAAACATCTAGCCCTTTGTTAAAAAAATGACTGTGCAGAGGTGACACCTTTTCATTTAACTGAGATGTACTCTAAAGGATAGATGTATATCTGATTACTTCAGAGAGATGAGTAATTTACTAATGTTTACTTCTGTCAGTCTGCAGTTCCCGTATACATTGATCTGGATTTACTTTATTTCATACATTGAGCAAAAATTAATTCACTAAATTTCGATCCATTATGTTTTGATGAAACCATATGCAGAAAAGCAGAATCTTACGGATGAATGCAAAGATATGACTCTGCTTGACTCTCACATCTCATGCTGCATTTGCACATAAATGCTTTTACAGTTGCTTACTGACCCTGGAAAGCACATTACGTATGCGCAAATAGGTAGTAATAACCTGATTTTGAAAGATGACTTGTGGTTTGCATTAATTGTAACATTTTGTTGTACTTAAATCTATCTGCAGATAGAGACACTTTAAATACTTGATTGTTCCCGTCTTCCTGGATGGCCCTATTGGTTGTGGCTTGCAAAAATAGATGATACTGATAGACCCAAATTTAATCTCTGTTTCTGCAGTCTCTTTACTGAGCCTTTGCTGTTGTCATACTTAGTATTATATAGCTGCCTTGAGACTACAAGGGTCCGTATTAAAATATTCACTGTTGGACAGATGTATGCAAATAGCTCTGAAAATAAAAAGAAGAGAATAAAACCGTGGTATCATATCCTACTGCTAGAAAAGCAGTGAGAACAATGGAATTCCTTGAGGTCACACAAACTCATGTCCAAACCTGGAACTAAGCCCTTCTCCAAGTCCATAAAAGCATCTGTGGTGGAATCTAAGCATTCTGGCTACATGTCATAATTATGATTATTTGAATTATTATTGTTATCTGAATTACCACCTCACAGTCCATATCTGCCATCATACTCTATAGAGCAAAGGATGCGTTTTTCTAGCAAACAACCATATTCCAGAATACATTCTGCTTTTCAGGGCCTAAATAAATTGTAAAAGTAGCAGCATATGAAATACTAATGTTAGAGAAAGCATGAGAAGGGTTATCCAGGCAGCTGTGGTTCTTCCTGGGACGTTGTGCCAGTCATCATTAGATTCGTCACACCCCAGTAGTCTCAGCTTCTGAATCTACTCTTCTACTAGCAAATGTCACTAGCATGTTCAGTAAGGATAGAGCATGCCAATCACGGGGATTAAAGTTATAAATTGCAGTGTGTGATGGGATTCAGAAGATGAGAAATGTGAACAGATACCTAGTTAAATATGCTGTACTGTTTTTCAGGTAAGTGTGCTGAGTATTTGAAGAAGTTGTTCTCCATTATGAACGCTGCTTTGCCATTTTAAGAGACTGATCACTTAAATCCCTTCAGAATAACTTCTTTTCACATTCCAGAAACAACTTGTTTTCGTCAGGTTTTTCCTTTATTGTCAAGGAGAAACGTACTAGTACTAGTTAGTGTCTAAAGGGAAATTAGATAAACTGATGCATCAAACATCGAGGAAGTGAAGGTGGTACCTTTAAAAAAATACTGAGAACTTCAGCATCCATTTAAAAGTTTTTCTAGGTATTTGCTGGGAAAGTTTCCTCTGTGATTTGTAGATTCTCTCCTTTCATCATTTCCCTGAAGCCCAGACAGGTTCTGACTTAAGAGTGAACAACGGAAAACATTCCTCAGTAGAGAAATTTTCGAAACCTCGGTTTCACAGTTGAAGGTATGGAAAGAAAAGATGGTTTTAGGCAGTGAGACGTGAAGGACAAGTGGTAGGCCTGTCACAGATGCTGATAGCTTGGCGACGGTTGTACATCATCTTCCCTTCGTTGGCTCATGGACCTGTCTCAGCCGAAATGCAAACGCGTACAATGACACATTTATTTTTCATCTTAAACCTCGATATTTTCAGGCTTCCTGTGCATCAGTGGTTTGTTTCATTCCCCTATGTTCACCACAGATGTGCTGCCACCAGTGCCAGGGCAAGGAGATAAAACAGCTACTATGCTTTCGGATGGAGCCATTTACAGCAGCATTGACTTCACCACCAAAACAAGTTACAACAGTTCCAGCCAAATAACTCAAGCTACGCCATATGCCACCACCCAGATCCTGCATTCCAACAGCATCCATGAGCTGGCAGTCGACTTACCTGATCCTCAGTGGAAAAGCTCGATTCAGCAAAAAAATGACCTGATGGGATTCGGTTACTCACTCCCAGACCAAGGCAAAGGCAACAACGGTAAGTCTGGGTCTTCCTTTCCAGAGCCCTCCTCTTCCTGCTGCATGCATGCATTAGAAAAGTGTTTTTAGCGCGTGAGGCACTGCTCATATTTACCATAACTAATACTTACACACCTTGCATGCGTGCTGAACTGGACCCTCTCGCAGAATATTTTGCTGTGTGCTTTCGGCCCTATCTGTCCTGTGATAACCACCGACCCATCTGCCTTCCAATAGGCTAGGACAGGCACACACCAAAGGAGAAACCCCCCAAAAAGGCGATTGAAATAAAAATCGCAGCCCCGCCGCCCCCGCCGTTGACTTGCTAACTGCATGTGTTGCATGTGCTCGTGCTGTCGACTAATCCCGCGACGCCACTGTGACCTGTCCCCTTTAACCCTTAGCCTTGCTTTACATCCCTGACTACCGCGTGGCTGAGGGCTTGGCTAATAGATTGCCACACAACCAGTCGCAGGATTTCAGCACCACCAGCTCCCACAACAGCTCTGAAAGGAGTGGCAGCCTCTCAGGTTGGTTCCAGCGCCGCGGCGAGGGGCGGCGCCGGGGGGGCCATCCGCTCGGCAGCTCCTCAGGGCGGCCACGCGACCGCCGGGCGCTGTCTCCTGCCGGGCAGGAGGCCACCCGGCCCCGGGAACACCAGCGAGCCCTGGCCGCCGCTGCACAAACATAGGAAAAGAAAGAAAAGAAGGTCCTGAAACCAAAAAGCCTCTTGCGAAACCTATTAGAAAATCTCCTCAACCACCGCACCTCGCCTGTTGCAGCAACTACAGACCGTGCGCTGTGATGTCCTTGCCCTGGTAGCACTCTGCCAGTTGCTATTGCCACTGCAGTTTGTAGGTCTCCCCTTACTAGGCTTGTGAGGTGAATATTTGCGTTGAGTTGCTACCCGGTTCTGCACTCATGTGAGGCGTTTCCAAATGTGCTCTTTAATCAGGCAGGCAGCTCACTCAGAGGTAAATGTAGGCCCCACAAGATGATTGGGGTTGCAAAAATTGTGCCAGGTCTGCATACGAACAGAATGTAAATTTTATGTGTGTGCTGCATGTTATATTTGAAACACGACACATTTTCATGGGATGAAAATGGCTGAATACTTCTGATCGTGTATTATATTTAAATATATCTCTTTTATTGATTTCTTTAGGTTTGCTTACTTGTTGCTTATGCTACTTTACGTATAATTATGCCCTTGTTTCAAGAAGAAAACTAAAAAGCCTGCAATTAAAATAGAAGTCTGCTATTATGCTTAACCAAAATAGGAGAGAGCTGAAGGGACTTACATTTCAAATTTGTACTATATCCATAGCCTTTTGAAGTGCAATTACAAGTTGGAACAATCATAACAGTACAGATCAACCCCAGAAAGGGCTTCTGTGTGTCAATTTTAATGACTTTTCAAAGAGAATGTTGAGATTACAAGCCTATAAACATTGCCCCATAATTCAAATACCAAATGTATTTGCAAGCCTTGCATGGAAATATCTTTTTATGGAAATACTAGCTGCTTTGAGTGCCATAGAAAAATAACACTGACAGAAAGGGATCTGAGAGTTAAGTTCGTGTGATGCTTTCGGAAAGGTGCTTGCTCCTTGTACGCGAGATGCATTGGCAAGTAGCTGAGGAAATCAGCCTGCTCCTCTGACTGCAGGAAGATGCAGAAATTGATATGCTGAGGTACACACGTGCAGTTATCAAAGGGCAGTATCACACTTTAAATGTGTTGACAGTTACCGCTAGCTAAGAACTTTCTGAGAAAATACAAGGAGCATTTTTCACTGGAAAAGGCTAGTTCATCAAAAGCTGAACTTCGAAAACTGTTTGAAGTGAAACGTGTTTTGTGCAGTGTTTCTCAGCTCGAAGTAAATTTTCTGATGAGGTCCGGAAAGTTCAGGTGGCCCAGCCTTCCTCAGCCAGGGCATTCCCCGTAGTCACCAAAGCAGAGCTCACACGTGGGTGTCCCGTGGCTCTGATGTGTGTCACACTGTTGGGCTGCAGATTCAGTACTTTGCTCTCCCTTACCCACTGCTCGTGTATATAGTGCAGACCAGCTGCAACGTGAGAAATTGAAAAAGACCTTCAAATAGCCCAATAATTAGAGCGTCACTGGAGCCAGAGGCCAGCTTTGATTAGCTGGCCCTCATTAGCGGGAACAGGGACTTTTTATCACTTCCTTGGTTCGTATTTTAATTATTTATAATTCTAAGTCTCTCTCTCTCTTTCAAACAAATGCCATGAGAAATCTTATCCCACTCTGGAGTGGAAAATAGCTAACACCGCAACTATTTTGTGAAGCAGTGATATTTTGTGGCTGTGCTTTTCACAGCACCCAGCTTATGCCAGTGCTGTGATCATCAGCGCGACTGGCAGATTCTTTTTCCAGAGTCTGAGTCACCCAGAGATCATAGCAATATAATTGAACTCCAGTGTGAGGAGACATTGAAATATCTACACACACTGATAGGGAGAAATTAGGCTTCTATGCAGATCAGGCACCATGAATGTTAGAGTTGTCTGTTCGTGGAGTGACTCTACCCACAATGAAAGGAGAAGAGAATCTCCTGCTCAACTCTGCGGTGTAGGTTGCTTCCCCTACTAGCAATGTCCTTGGGCTGCTTTGCTTTTATTTCTTCAGCTGAACAGTTTCTCAGCTCTTTGCTTCATTCTTTCTAAGAATTCCCTTATCTTTGCCCTTTCTCCCCAAAATCCTGCAATTTACACCACAGTTGTGGCCCACACATCCATTTCCTTGGTCTCCTAAACATACCGAGATGCTCTATGTTCAGAATCTGCCCCTCCACCTAAAGGAATCTCTAAGAATAAGGTCTCCTCGGCATTGCTTTTCTTTGAGTACTGCTGGTTTAATCCCCCCTTCGACAAAAGCACACACACACGTGCAACACACACACACTCACATACCTGTACACTTCCATCCCCAAGCAACCCCTCCTGCAGTCCTATCCTGGCAGACTTTTCCAAATTTTCCCCATGTCTTACTAGTTAAATTCATATACTTCCTTTGTACTTTTCTGTGACCTTATTTCTATCTCTGCTTTTGCCTCTCCCCCTCCCTTGAAAGCTTTGCTTTCCCTCAGGATGTTTCAAGCAATTTTTCCTCCACTGCCACTACCAGCAGTTTCCTTTTTGTTGCTAAAAATGTTCTTTCCCCTTTTGAGAATGCTGCTCCCTCTCTGCCAACTACAAAAGAAGGGAAGAGCCTGGCTTGCAGCCTAATAGATGGAATATTGCAGCCTAATAGATGGAATATCAGCTCGGTTCCCACATAGTGAATGCTGGGATCTTTTCTGGATTTACTCTGAATATCCCAAGGAAGAGGCCTGGTCTGGAGCTGGGTTGTGGATAGAAAGCGGTCCCCCTTGCAACCTGCTGACCACTGGGCCCACTCCTGCCAGGCGGCAAGTCTGACTCCAGCAGTCGGAACAAGAGGTGGAAAGAAAAGGCTTGACTGGGCCTAAATCACAGGACCACGTTGTTCCCTCCCTCTCTATTCTTTCCTTTTTGGGTCCAGCTGACAGGGGGAGACAGGAGAAAAAAAGCAGCTGTCTGACAGAGCACAGGTCCCGTGGCACGAGCTTGTCTGTATCCCCAGAACTGCAGCTCCTCTGGGATGTCTCGGCCTGCAGTTAGACCGTGGCAGGCAGTGCACACCACCTCCCTTCCTCACAAGTCACCTGCAGCTCTTTTGGTTCATTGCTGCGGAGAACTTCTTACATGTGTTTTGTTTGGCTGACACTTATAAGTCAGCATGAGGTGGCAGTGGGTAAGCTGGATTAGACAAAGTGGCCAAAAACAGATGGGTCTGAAAGCGGTCAAGGGTCTTTAAATCCTTTTTGGATTTAAAGAAGTCCCAGTCAATCCTTTTTGGATTTAAAGAAGTCCCATACTTCTTAATGAATTGTTGACTAGAAAAGCAGAGGGTGAGCATTAAAAAAAAAGGAGAGAGAGAGAGAATGAGAACAAGAAAAAGCGTGGAAAGAGTATTTTCTTTAAGATCCCTTCCCAACACATCAAAGAATTGTCTCAAATGCAAAGCTAAAGCAAGATGCGTTGCTCGCCTCCTGTCCGCTACCACCTTCCATTACGGATGTTCATCAGGCTTAGAACTGTGTCCATTTTGGCAGAAGATACTTGAATCCTGTCCTAAAACATTACAAACAGCTTCTTGATATTTTGAAAAATGGAGCTTACTAAATTCATTTGAGCAAAAAAACTGTATCTTTTTGTTTTGACAACTTACACTTGTCTTTCTGACTGAAAGAAATTTAGTATCATGGCAATATTTTTTAAGATTGTGTCCTTAACCTCTGTGTTTTCCACAGAAAGAGATTATGCAAAACAGTGTTATAAGCCCACTGGATTCTGACATTTGAAAGATTTTGCCATGGTCTATTATATTTTTATCTAATAATGAATGCAAGAAGTCCTAAAGCAGACATGAATAAATCAAGAAATACATTTTTGATACAGAGAAATGTGTCTGTCTTTGGTTATGTGCTATTGTGGTGCAATTGTAGCAAGTTCATTTTTAAGAAGAAATGTTTTTCAGCAATTATATTTTTCCATTCCAGTCTGTTATTATTTATAACCTTGTAACAACATTAACACATTGATCCTGATTCTGCCAAGCTATAAATACATCTTCTTTTTTTGGGCATGCCATCTGGAATCAGAATTCTTTCAAAGAAATGTAAATAGCCTACTTTATTTTCACATTATACCTCTAACTTTTTCTTTTTCTTTTTGGATTTGCAGGTGGCAAAGGAGGAAAAAAGAAGAAAAACAAAAATACTGCCAAGCCCCAGAAAAATAATGGTTCAAACTGGGCCAATGTTCCCCTCCCACCCCCTCCTGTGCAGCCGCTTCCAGGCACAGAGCTGGAACACTATGGGGTGGATCAGCAAGAAGCAGGGTAATTTTTCTCTTTTTCTGTTGAAGAAAAGTCCGTGATTTGCAGAGATGAGGCCTTTTCTACCAAATAAAAATATTATTCTGTTTTGTTTTTTTTTTTAAAAAAAAAAGAGAGGCTTATCTTATAGCCCTTTTCAAGGCTATAGAAGAGGAATGTTTGAATAGCTGCTCTTGATGATGACTGAAGATGGAAATAAAAGTGACCTTGCTTCATCATCTTGTAGGGCTTCTGTGCTTGCTCATGCTGAGAAGTATCTCGCTTCACAGGTAGCTTAATTGAATTCTGTTGGACTGCTTGAAGATGATGGGCCTCAGAGTGAGTAAGGATGACATAATCTGGCTCTTTGTATTTTTTACCAGTTTGATGTTTAGAAATATGAGAGCCGGCAGAACAACAACAAAAAAAAACTCACTAAATTGGATTAATTTTAGAAGATGAACTAGTGGATAATGGTCTTCTCATCGGCTTTTAGAAGAAATTTCATGGTTGAAAAAGGCATGCTATTTGTAGCCATTTCTTGAGTTTAAACAACTCCTGATATTCTGGAACCTCATGCTTGTCTTTGGATAGTGTAAACTTGTCCTCAAGGACACAAAATAACATAAAAAGCATTCACTAAAAAGGAAAGAGACATTTCCTGCACAGAGAGCAATTATGGAATGATTTTTGTAATATGAAATCGTATGAATTAATTACTTTTTTTTCAAACTCTAGAGAAAAACTCAAATATAGACAGAAATAGTTTATTGCGATCATCTCTGCTGGAGTCTTTGAGAAATATTGGAGTTCTGTCTAGGACAAATATTTACCTGTTTGAATTCATGGATTAATCAATATTTCCTAAGAACCAAAGACATGTTTTAAAAATCACTGTAATAGCTTCTTGAATAAAGCATTTCAAATGTTCTCTCTTTTATAAGGATAAGCTGGTCATTACTACATTTATGATGAAAATTTGAAGAAATGAATGTTAATATTTGAATTTATATCAATTCCTTCCACTCAGATTTAATAATTGATTGTGTCAGTGGAGTTCCTTTTAAAATGAAATTCTGTTCAGGCTTTATATGAATTAGAATTCCAAAGAATATATGAGGGACACTGTATAACCTTACTGATTATATTGTTTAAACTTCAAGACAAATACAGCATAAAATCATTATATTCCTTATCTTGATTTTAAAAAAAAAGAAGAAGAAAAAAAAAAAGAGATAGTGTAGCCATGTGATATTTCTCAATATTAATTTGCATCCTTAAAAAATCCCATGCAACTATTTCACAAAAACTAATTATGCTATAGTAAGCAAAAGCTTGTATTTTCCTTAAGGACAATGCAATAGTATAAAAGACAGGTAAAACAATGTATTTTCTTGTGAAAGCTTTTGTGTCACAGCGCTTGACTCCTCTGGTTACATAAGGTATCTGTTATCTAACTGTTATCTACCTTGATGACTAATTGTATTAGTCACCAGGACAGCACTAGTTATTAGGATAAATAACTTTTCAGGTTCTCCAAAATTCAGAATTAGGTTTTCCTCTGTTTATTTTTCAAATTACTTTTTAAAACTATTGTTTTATAGTTCATTAGTAGCAATGGGAACTCATATCTTCTAATGAGCATCTTTCTTAGCAATTAAAGGCCAAACAAAAAGAAATTGCAAATTGGCTTATAGTGTCACCTCTGAGCTAC